GTTCAGTTTTTCAATCATTTGCTTCTGGTCTAAATGATTCCGTTCGTCCTTTTCATTAAAGAGAGAATTTGTAAAAGTAGCCTTTGGGACACCATAGGCAAAAGGTGCTTTTCTACCTAGATGCATGTGAATGAGGTGCTTTGATGATATTTCTTAAATAGAAATTGGGGGGAAAAAAGAGTATTCAACACAGGTATATGCACATAAAAGAAGCCCACTAACTGTGTTGGCTTGAATCTCATGATTAATCATTTGATAAATTCAAACATAACAATGAGGAAAAGAATGCTAAGTAAAGAAGATTAACGAAGGCAGACATGAGTCTTTAGACTGTGTAAGGCACGGTAGCTGCCGGTATCCATCTCAGTTCTACACTGAAGAGATAAGAAGCCTCTGAGGATGTCTGTGTGGATTATGTAGGTTAGACTGAGGTAAGATGACCCACCAGAACTGTGGGCAATACCAGTCCACGGACTGCAACTCCAACCTGAAGAAAAAGCAAACTGGGAACCAGCGTTCATGGAAACCTGCTTCCTGACCATGGCTGCAATGTAAACAGCTTCTGCCAAGTTCCCACGGTCATGGCTTCCTCACCAAAATTGAGTTTACCCTCAAACTGTTGAGTCAGACTAAACCCTTTTATATTTAGGTTGCATTTGTATTTTATCTCAGGTGTGTGTGTGTGTGTGTGTGTGTGTGTGTTATAAAAATATATACACACATAATTTTTTGAGGCTGTGTATCCCAGGATAGCCTTGAACTCTCTGTCTCCTTGAGGGTAACCTTGAGCTTCTGATCCTCCTGCCAAGTGCTGAGATCATTGGCATCTGCTGCCCTGCTCAGTGTACGTAGCACTGGGGATGGAACCTAAGGCCTGGGCCATGCTAGGCAAACATGTTCTATCTGAGACACACACACACACACACACACACACCCTGCTCAATTACATCACGTTTTCAGTTCCACCTTGTCTCTACTAGGAGTGGAAAAGGTGATGGCAGTGTTTTAACGGCCATGAACAGGGACTCAGAGTTGAATTTCCCTTTGGTTGGAGTCAGGGAAAAAAAAACATTCTCTGTGCTTCCTTGGTGATGGTGAGGACTTTGAAAATAGGAGGAAGTTTGTTCAAGGTTAATCAGCAGTCTTGTATGGTGACAGCTGGTTCTAATGTGGCGGCGGGGAGATTTTACTGAAGTGGAACAGAGAGAAGGAAGGGAAAGGGAGGTAAAATGCTTACAATGTACAGAACACAAAGGGGCAACAGTAACTGAGGTGCATGGGAAGGAGATGTTTGACTCTTCCATCCAGGACCACAGAAGCTCCCTGATCCTGAGAGACCCAGGGGAAGTGTCTTAGCTGCTTTTCTAATGCTGTGATAAAGCCGTAAGAGTTTATTGGGGCTTACAGTTTTAGAGGATGAGTCCATGACCACCACAGTGGAGCATGGCAGCAGCCAGGCACTGGAGCGAAGCTGAGAGCCCAGATCTTGAGACATAGCATGAAGCAGAGAGATAATGTAAATGCCATGGGCTTTTTAAATC